ACTATATGTATACATAATGTAAGCCATCGCGCGTATGTTAAAAAAAAACTGAACTAATCCAAGGCTAAAAAAATTAAACTAAATTGAGAAGATTTAATCATAAAGGAATCAAAAGGGTATATGAAGGGAAAAATCCATTTTGATGCGTGGTAAGCACAATTAATCATAGAAATAATATAGAGAATTGAAAATAAGCCCTAATAAATTCGTTTTACATATTTTGCAACTATAAGCTGAAGGGAGATTCGTATCGTCTTAACATCAAGAATGCGTTGCGGGATAGAAAATAACAAGACGGAACCCATATTTTCTGAAATAACCGAGGTAAACCCAAATATTTTTTCAATTAGATTCAAAACATATTTATTATATATTATTACAAAACAGTAATAATGTTTATCATTTTATGCTAAATATGAAAGATTACAAAATAGATATCTAAATATTGATAATTTGTTGTTACAAAATAAAATAACAGATAATAGAACATATTATGGCATTAAAAGTTATTAATAATATTTGTGACACTTTATTTGCACTTAATCTTGAGCATTTTTCATAAATTGACCCTGCCTTCTTTAGATAATATCCGCTCAACATCTGGTTTAACAATTTGGTCTCCGATGAAAATCACTAAACAAGTAGGTAGCAATATTTTACCAGTTCGGAACTTTGAATCGTGCAATACAATGCAAATGGACATCATTTGAGAAGCATCTGGACTACAGACGGAGAGTAAAACATAGAGAATCGGTACGGGGATTCTATCGATACGATTTAATTTAATTTAATCTTTTCTTGTTGCGAATTTGCGTCCACAATCAATCAGGCAATTTAAAATAGGTCCAACAATTTTTCAAAAACTTTATTGTAGTGGATCTTAGGCACAATTTTGTTGCACAACATCGATTGTTAGTTCTTAAAACAATATTTAACAGTGCACGGCAATGTGCAATGATAAATACCCGGTCGTTTGAAGATGATTTTCAAAAGTTTGTAATACATTTTTCTGCAAATTGAAGGACGATCCGAATTTTTTTTGCACTTAAACTGCTTCAGTGTGTATAATTGTGTGTGTACTTTAATTTGAAATTTAAAAGAAGGCGAAACTTGAACAGGCATTTAGTACATGAGCACCCTTAACCTAGTATTTGCAGTATCTGCAGCTTCACCCTTGATAATTTGTTGATTCATTGTTATCAGCGTTATAAAATAAACTGCACCGAACACAATTATACTACATTCAATAATTGAAAAATTAAAATCACTGTCAGTTTAATAACGCAATTTGTATTTGAAAACTTTATCAGATCTACAGATGCACCCGCACTAAGAGAAAAATGTCGAATTCAAAGTGCATATGTGCGTTCCAAGCCTCAGGTGCGAAGAGGCCGGAGTTGGAGCCGCCGTGACCGAAAAAAATCGGTTCGCCCTCCCATAAAAAGTTATCACTTCAAAAAACAGTGACATGAAAAAAGTGACCAACACAAAAGTTGTGAAATTTTTAACAAAATAGAATTAGAAATAATTTTTTAAATAAAAAAATTCTGTATAAGCAAATTATTTCAGCGTAATTTTTTTAAATTACTCGTAATAAAATCATCGTTAAAGCGCTTTCTGTCTCATATGAATTGGGCAACAGTTCGTAAGTTATTACTCAGTCCATATATCTCCTGAAAACAACTCTAACAAATTACCTGTGCTCCCTTAAATAGTTGCTTACTCCCGCTCTGAGGGTTTCTTCGCCCAAAAAGAGGCTCATCATCCTTATCAGCGATGAACCTTTTTTATATGAAATCGTGTCGAAAATTTCATCAATTTCTTTTGGATCTCCAATGGGAACCGATACCTGTAAGTAACCAAATAATACCGTTTTAAGTACATGGTGTCTTCAATTTGAAACCCACTTACTGGGTGAGATGATCGGAGTGCATCAAACGAAAATACGCTCAACATATCAGTAGCTCCTTCTTCTTGGAGGGAATTCCATTGGGGGAATAAATGATCCACTGCCACACTTGCCATATAAGTGGCAAATCCCTCGTTTAGCCAAAGATCGGTCCACCACTTCATGGTTACTAAATTTCCTATAAAATTTAAATTCTACTTATCGTTTTTTATATGGGCAAACAATTACCCGAATGTGGAATTAAAACATGCGAATTTCAAAACCTACATTCCAAGAATTGAAAATTCAATTTTCTAGCTTTGCAATTTAATCTTAAATTTTTATATACAGGGTGTCCCGTAAGCACATGATCAAAAGGGTACTGCGGAGGATATTCTTTGGATCAAAAGAAGACGATCTGACTTAACTTTTACTAAGAAAAAGGCTCCTCTGCTATTGATGGTGAAAGTTCTTTAAAAAAATATATCTTTTTGAAATATCAGGATAATTGTACGATGGATTTTAAGGAAACTCTCTGTGAATTTCTTCCTATGTAAGAGTCATGTTTTGATGAAGCAATCCAGTTTATCAGCTTTGGGCAACTGAAGTTTGCGGCAACTTTGGGCAACTGAAGTCTTGAGTTTCTTGGTAGGAAAACTAGGAAAATTTTAGGAAATTCTTGAGAAATGATTGTTTTTCAACTGTTTGGTTGCAAACGTAGTACAAAATCACTTCGTCAGCCAAAACAACTGTATATATTATCGATGATTTTATTTGAGAAACATATGAGAAATGAGCATTTTTTAGTGGTATATTTGGAAAACACTTGAAGGTCCAAACAATCGTCTATATTGTCGGGGAATTCGTTGGCCAAGCCTTGAAAATTGGACTGTTTGTTGATGCAAATATGGAGGATATTAGAAGGTCCAAACTACCCTGTCGGCAAAATTGCTGAGAAGTGAGCGTTTTTTGACTGTTTGTTTGCAAAAGTGGAAACTGGAGGCCTTAACAGCTCAATTTTGTGGGAAAATCTGTCGATGAAGCGTTGAGAAATGAGTATGAGTGCGTATAAATGGAAAACGTGGATGCTCTAAAGCGAAAAAATTAGAGTTTCTAACTGTTTTGTGTCGCGGACAATAGAAATTTTAACGAACTGTCGATATCCCCAGGAGATTTTCGGAAATTCTTGTAAAATGAGCGTTTTTCGACTGTTTGGTTGCAAATGAATAATCGAAACAATTATGACTCTTGAAGGTTAAAGAACTGGCGGTATTCCCAGGAAAATTGCTGGAGAAGTTTTGAGGAGTTGAAAATTGTTGAAAAATGAGCGTTTTTTCACTGCTTGCCTGCAAACATGGAATACAAAGCCAAAGCCAAGCCAACTGTTACTATTGTCGGGAAATGTGTTGAGGAAGTCTTGAGAAACAAGTGTTTTTTGACTGTTTGGAAATGAAAAAATCTGGAAGTCGCATGAACCGTCAATATTATCGGTAAAAATGTTGAGAAAGGGTAGAAATGAGCGATTTTTGACTGTATTTGCAAATGAGGTGGACAGCTGAGGGTCCAACGCAATATTCTCGGGAAATTTGTTGAGAAACTTTGAAGAGCGCGCGTTTTTTTTATGCTTGGGTGCAAATATCGAGAACATTTGATGGCCCAAACAACCTTCTCGTGAAAATTGTTGAAAAATTGGCGTTTTTCACTGTTTGGTTGCAAATGTGAGACAAAGCCAAGGCCAAAACAACTGTTAAAATTGTCGGAAATTGCATTGAGAAAGAAATGCTTTTTGAATTGTTGGAAATGGAAAATCTGGAAGTCGAATCAATCAATACTATCGGTATAAATCTTAAGAAAGCCTAGAAAAAAGCGATTTTTGACTGTCTGCAACTGTGCAAATGAAGTGTCCAACCGCAATATTCTCGGGAAATTTGTTGAGAAACTTTGAAAAGTGCGCATTTTTTCAATGCTTTGGTGCAAATATCGAGAACGTTTGAAGGCCCAAACAACCAGCTGGCGAAAATTGTTGACAAAGCCTTTAGAAATGAGGCGTTGTTCGGCAGTTTGGTTGCAAATATGGAGGACACCTGAATGGTCAGATTTAGGCTCCATTGATCAAAGCAATCAAGCAAAAGGAATTGAAATCGATAAATGACGAGATATTCGGTGAACAATGCCACTTATTGAACTGTTAAAACAGATCCAAGTAAAATGGCATTTAAAAGCGATTGGAACCGGTCGGTTTTTCTCCTGCTCTATTTGTGGAACCTTGTTAAATCAGCATAGTCGGTATGCAGATTTACAGCTGCCGGACTGCCGGTGAAAGGACAAGATCGTCCGGCTAAGAGAAGTCGCTTTGTTGATTCCATTCCCCAGTGCCAGTGCAGTTTCGAATAAAAACAGTCAAATTATCTGGAACCAGCACAAAACAATTAACAATCTGAAGTTCGGCTTAGAACTTTCCAAAGGCACTAGTGGTTTTTTTGTATATGGACGGAACTGGTTAATAAGCAGTAGAGTTAGC